ACATCAGGGAATAGTCATTCAACATCAAATGAAAGGATACGTCTGTCATTTATATTCACTTTTGTTATGTAATTAATGAGTTTAAGAGTATCATGTAAGAAATCTATACAAATACGTTTTCGTACAAATTCAAAGAGATTTACCAGTCACTTTGCTACAGAATGAAAATGCGATCCGAATGTATGAAGAATCGATCGGAGAGGTAGTCCAGGTTTGTGTATATTAAGCAGACCATATAGCTGTAGACATTATTGATCCCGTTCGTCTCATACATACGTAAATATCTTCGTTAGTTGCATGATGACTTTTAACTACCTTAAGAACTACATTCACTTGCTTTTTGATCATTGTCATTGATTTGTTTGGAGAATTTGTTGTCATCTGACAATAAGTTTTATATTTTGTGGATAGGGAGTGAAGTAGTCGACCACGTGAACAACTTCACTTATCTTGGAAGTCTGATCAGCCCTAATGGGTTAGTGTCTGACGAAATCTGAGCGCGGATTCAAAAAGCATGTTTGGCTTTTGCCGACTCACATCACCTATGGCGAAGACGAGATATCCGTTTATCAGTTAAGAGACGAGTATACTGTGCAGCAGTTCGTTCTGTTTTACTTAACGGCTGAGAACCATGGTCATTAAGAGTAGAAGATACTCGTAGGTTACTAGTATTTGACCACAGATGCCTTAAAAATATTGCTCGCATCCGCTGTGATCACCGGGTAAGTAATAGTGAGGTTAGACGCAGGGTATTAGGGAATGATGGTCAATCAGTTGATGAGGTCATGAATCTTCATCGACTGAGATGGTTAAGTCACGTGTTACGTATGCCTAGACACCGATCGCTACGACGCGCTATGCTGACTAGTGTAGGGGATGGTTGTAAAAGAGTTAGGGGCGACCAAACCAAAACGTGGCGTCAGAGCTTGAAGTCGCTAACTTCTAGTCTAAGCCATGTTGGTAGATGCAGACTATGTGGTTGAGGTCCGCACGACTATCGTAATTAATGGTTGAAAACTCTAGGTGACATGGCTCAGAATCGATCACAATGGCGTAGGTGTATACAGTCTTTATTTTACCTTAAACCTTGAGATTAAAATTGCTTCATAACGTTCTTCCTTCCTATACTATATCCTTATATACAACCTTTCTTTATATACTATCACCACTAAATTAATTACTTCTATGAATCCGGTGTTCATCTTGTTGTGCTAATGAGTCATGGCAACTTGGACCGATGCATGTGTGTGCCTGGTCCTACGTTGTAGTTAACTGACTGACTTTACATTTTGTTGACATATATCTTACAGTCTAACAGCACTAAATCATAATCTTTAGTTAGTAAATTTAAATTGTTTTACTTCTTTGTTAGGAAACCTTTACCTTCTTCTTTGGGTGCATATGCTGGTTGCAGATATCGAGAAGAGTAGATTTAAAACGTTGAAATTCTTCGTCAGAGATCGGGTTATGATTATTCGTTTGATTAAATGTTCGGGTTGAACATTTGTGTGAATTTTGTTTTTGAATTTTTTTATTTATATCATAGAAGTTTGTTCCTAAGAATAAGGTTTCCAGTTAGATATTCGGTAAGGATACCGAAGGATGATTAAACAGGTATCTCTTAGTTTATTCAAGATGAAACGAGTAAAATAAAAGGATACCACCTTATAGTGTTGTTTTCCGAATATTATCAAAAATTAGTCAGGATCTTAAGACAGATTTAGTTTCAATAAAAGAGGCATTCGAAACCTTTGTTTTCCTCTTATTATTGAGTTTATTTTACTTAAATTTGAAAAATTTTGTATTTACAGTGCGTGAGTTATTCTGAGAAATAAATTTTATAATTTGTTTGAGTTGTTCTTGAAATAAATGTATAGGAAATCCAGTAATTAAGACTAATGACATAATAACGTCAAGTGTATTTTATTGTTGAAAACTCAAATGTTACCGTCATTGAATAATCTTCCTTTATAAGATTTTTTGTCATGGAGCATGAAAGCTCAATTTTTAATCAGATTAATTATGACAGATTTTTTAAATTAATCATCTAACTTCATTTGGCAGGTTACCCTGGGATTCTGTTAAACCAATTAGATTACGCAACAGTGCTAATATCTTAGCTGAAACTTTAACCTTAAGTACTTTTTTCCTAATTCATTTTCGCAAATGAATTTAGCTTTTTTATGATTGATTATTGTTTTTAGTTTACCAAATTTCTGAGTGCTTGAAGATCATGTTTACGTTTCTTTACTAGTAGAGTTGTGTCATTTTATTTTGTCTCCAGTGCTCTACTGTCAATAACAGGATTTCCTAGAATTCGTCTTATTTATGTATTAATGGTCAAGTGTTACAGTGTCGTGTACCAGTTGCTGTTATTGATTTACCCGACAGAATAGACCGTATGGGAGTAGCTCAATAGTGGTTTATTACGTACGTGCTATAGATCTGTACTAAATCTCTAAAAGCAAGATATATTACATTTAAAAGTTTATTTTGTGTAACTGGTTTTTTCATGTAACAATTCAAAGTGGTAGTTTAATCCCACTACAATCTGATAAAAGCACACTTCAATTTATTCAACCTATAAAACAGTAAGTTTTTATTATTACAACATTTATTTACATTATCAACTCATATCATGGCTAACTCATTATTATCTTCAAAAATGGAAATGTTCAATCGTTTGTTTAAAAAAAACATTTATCTACACAGCAAACAACAAATCTTCTCTAACTTCGGACAATTTACAAATAAGTACAATTTGATTAAATCTAAAAAAGCAAAATAATTTGGTTTTTCTTAAATCATAAAAAGATATGCCTTGCTAACATTTCACTTCAGGATATTTTTCCGTAATGGATGTTTGATTCGGACGCGAACTAATAAAAAAACAAAACAATAAATCACAAGTTATTTAACAAACTGTTATTGATTGATTTGCAATACAGAATAATCAAAAGCATTAAGAAAGAAAATGATTGTACCTTAATCAATAATTGTTACTATGCCTGCCATATGGATGCTAAAAAATAATTATGTTGGGAACAATGTTCGATGAGGCAATACAAAACGGATTACAATTCAAAATGAACAAATAATTTTAAAACAAATTATTTTGTTGACTGATATCATAATGTTTGCTTATTGTATCTTTTATAATATGCCAGAGTAAATAACGAATCTTCGGTAAATACTCGTCACCTGGGAATTCATTTTGACTACGATTTTAAATAGGACAAAACAAATGAATTTTTGATTTCAGGTTTTAAGTATGAAAGATTACATTTTGAAGTTATTTTTAAATAATATCTTAATAATTTTTATACTTCTCTTTATGTTACAAGATTGTAAAACGGAATACAGGAACGTTGCTAACATTATTTCTATATCCATATGTATATTGTTTGAAGAGTTTTGGTGAACATATCACGATCATATGTTAAAGTAAAACATCGGTATTAACATACCGCAAATTTTCAACGGGCTTAAAATTGATTAAATTCATTACGAGACTAAAATGTAATAATATCGTTGGCTGCGTTTGTGAAATGGAGTTTAAAACCGATAAATCAATACGAGTTTTACTCCCGACTAATCAGAGTAGGTGAGGAAACCTTATCTATGTTATAAACAAAGAATCAGTCACACAGTATTGCCTCATTAAAACACTAAAATAGTAAAAGTCATTTATACTACCAACAGTTATGTAATTTATACTTCATCTAAACTTGGAAAGTGACTAAAACAGCCTTTGTCTTATTTAATCACTATGATAAAAGCTATTTTGTTCATGGTTTATATTGTAACTTTCAAGGTGAATGGATACGTGTTAAATCACAATATTCTAATCAGATAAAAAATTACTCCACACTTAACAATCAATTCCTACGATGTGAGACAGATTAGGGAATTATATAACGTAAGCAAATACTCAGGTGATACTTATTCTTCACGAAATTAGCTATGACTATAAGAATAGAAACCTTGTTTATTTTTGCACATTAGCTTAACACCACTTATGTATCTAAGACCTTGGGTTATGTATTCCTGTCGTTCATGGAAATTTATAATTAGTTAAACATATTATCTGGGATACTAAGATATTAAACGTAAAAAATTAAATTTTCTACTCATTGGGATATTACAAGTGTACTTATTTTTTATTGTTTTCATTCGTTTTTCATCGTATAATTTAGTGAGATTATAAATCCAATATCGTTCTTATCTATCACAAAAATTTATTAAAAAGCTGTTATCTGTCATCAACAGATAATAAGTTTTATTCACAGTATCAGATATCTTCAGTGAAAGTTAAAATTATATTAAGATAGGTTATCCATTTAAATTTTACAAAGAATGAAATTATCACTGACACGATCGAGTTCCCAACAATAAGTGTATGCACAATTATTAACTTATTTTGATGAAAGATGATGTCAGTCTACTATTTGGAAATTTCCATATTTTCCATATTAGCTTAATCAACATCCCGTTGTGGCATTAAGGCAAGTGAAACAAGGTATTTAAAACTTCCAGATCAGTATATTTTTTTCCAGTATGATATTTATGTTAATTAGGCACTGCTTTCTTTCATCAGTTATCCTCAAACATTTAGTTATGAAAAGTAAACATTAGATACAATAAGCAAAGTGCTCGAAAATAATAAATATGAATATTCCCTTAAACCTTATTATTTACAAATATTCAAATTTTTCAAACAAATGACATTACATTGGGTATATTAGCATTTATGCATAGATAGCTTAATATTTCAGTGAAGACAGAATACTGAATTACGGATAAATAAAGCATATATAGTATATATAACTTAGAAAATGGATAATTTTCTATTTTATCTAATTTTAATCAGTCTCTAAAGAATTTTGTAGGAGAAGGAAAACATGGAAAAAATGACTTACCGTTTGAGACAACTTTCTGACCTATATTTTTGGTACATACTGTAAGAATTAGGAGGCTAACATAAATTACCGTAGGTTAATTCAAAATTTCGTTGCATCTGTCACACTTGAAAAACAAAGTACAAAGGAATGTTAAGAACTTTAAGAATATATTTTTAATAAAATTTTTCCGTACCTGCTATTATAAAGTACTATAATAATTAACCAAGTTGAACTGTCTTAGGAGCAAGAGTTTATTAAAAAATTTTCTTACACTATTCCGGTTATTCTTCTCCGTCTCCGAATGAAGTTTTCTGCATTGAATATCCAAAATATCGCAGGATTTACGGTTGAATTCAGTGGTACCAAATGCTTAACAAATTAAAAAAAGTAATATAAAGTTATAGAAAAAATACAATCAAATATCTAAATAAAAGTGGATAAATTAGTGCTAGTAAGATGATTATGGCTAGGTAATTTTTGTTTTAGAAAGGAGTGAAATTTAAACTTTGATGACGCTGAGTAGTGTATTTCTTTGTGAAAAATAAAACATGCATGTTAATTCACCCGTCGAATTCCTATACTAGAATTAGTCATATAACTTCAGCATTCATGACCTAAACAAATCGTCATTTACACTATTTTATCATGGCTAATAAGCTAGAGTATGCAAGATGATATTTCACAGTATTTACATGTAAACTCATTACCTCGTGATTCATTTTATCTATTATTATCAATGCTAGTATTCTCTTGAAATTAGGATGTAAGAAAAACTGAATGCATATAAGTAGTAAATTATATTAATTCGTTAATTAATAAGTAACGAGAAATTGAATAGTCAGTCCCAGTTTCAAGTAGGTAGATGTTTGGAATTGGTCCTAAAAACATTTATAGATTGGTTAGATGATTTCATTTTGTAAGTGGATACCCTATGTTGTGCCATAAAAATAGACACGTATTCACAGTTCTGCCATGATAAAACATCACTTAGTTAACTAAACCATGAACGTGCAACTACATTTGCTGAAAGATAAACTTAGCCACAGATAATAAAATCATTTTTGAGACCATGTTTTTTTAAATCGATGAAGGTAAAATAAGACTTATTCTATACAGGAAGATGTATTTTTAAAACTAACTTGAATAATTGGTGAATATTTCATCAAATATGGAGCGCATCGTCTCATATATCCATAAGTAACCATTAGGTTCCATACCATAAATGGACACCAACAAATCACATAAGCTAAGTGATAAAACATAAGTAAAAGTATTGTTTCATTTTGATATACTTTTTTTATACACTAAAAAAATGGTTATGAAACAATACAATTTAACGATTAACTCTAGCTTGGGTGTTTCCAAGAAAATGCTTTAATATTTAAAAAAATTATTGTTAATACAAAGAAGTTAAATCTCAATACATATCAGGAATTAGTAATCTCGACGTCGTCTTTTGACTGTTACTTTGTATGATATTTCACGAATTTATTTTAAAAATTAAGCCAAGTTCATTTACTTTGTGTATGTACACCGACTGTTTTGATTTATCTGGTGAATTTACAAAGACTTACCGTAATCTTCAGATAATTTCACGAACTTCATGTTTAGTTTGCCATATAGGCATCATGCATTAGTTTTTATTAGATAAGTTCTGATCCATAAAAGTTGTTTAATGTTCATCAGCATCCATATTTTCATATTTTTCAATATATAGACTCATAATCAATAAATAATTATCATAGATGTTGCAGAACATTTTACAAACAATGAACAAGGTGTCATTACCAGAGTTAGTCTTGATAATTTTCTCTGAAGAAGTGGCTTACACGGAGTCACAAAACATCAGAAAATTCGAAAATCTAGTTTTTCTACGCATCAGAATACTAAAATTTTGGTGTTTTTATTAACACTTATTTTTACGTCCATTTTATGATGAATGATTCAGCCGTAAATGATACAGTAACGTTCTACACTTTTCACTAAATTTTTGTTACTGAAGTATCGGTAGCACTAAGGCCTGGCTTAATGTATGATCCACAATGAAGTAGTTTCATACTTAAAGTGAGAGTTATATGGATCAAAGCAGTCTTATTAAGACATAAAAACCTTACATTGAGAAACTGTCATGTTTACACTGTTCAGATTCACTGAATCGACTTTTGTCTAGTACAAAAAGGAACTAAATGACGTAAATACGTTCAGTCATGTGTAAATCTGAAAAAAAAAATTAATTCATTTATTTACTTGAGACTATCAGACAAGTCATTTTAACTGTTTTCACTTTAGCACGGGATATACAACTGGAATGTACATGTTTACGGTTAACACGTCTAGATAGTCCGATTCGTAGACTCTTTTTATCGAGTGACAATTCACTTAGCTTCTTGTTTGATATAGAAATCGTAGTTACAGAAAGTGGGTTGTTTGGGTGTTTTTCCTGAGATTGTTTTTGACGCAGATCTGGTAGATCATTTATTCTGAATTTTCGAGATTTGGATGCACTCCAAATTTTGATTACGATGATAATATGACAGGTGGCTATAATAAATGCTGGTATAACAAAAACTGACATTGCTATAGAAGTTAGATAGGCCTAAATTTAAAAAGAAAAAAACCAACATTGTTTTGGTGAACAAAATGATTGAGAAAACATGTGGTTCAGAAATAAGCTACTAAGTTGAACATAAAACTAGTGTATGGTTTTGTTTGAAATGCTAACATTCAGACATCATAACGTTAATGACTCAAGGTTAATTTTACAGATTTGCGAATCATCTTGAGTGTCTTACAAATGCTAGAAGATAACTATTGTTTGATATATGTAATCAATAACTGACTAATCATATCAGTGAAGTGCATCCTTTGAAAGACACCCAGTTTCAGTTTAACTGTAAACAGCTTTAACTGACATAGTAATAGTGATCCGAACGAGCAATGAAGGAATTCACAACTACCTATATTTGACGTCATAACTCTCTCGAATATTATTAGGAAAACCTTATATGTTATTATATGCGTAGAATGTGTGACTACTAAGAAATGTATTAACTGTCGCGGCTTGAACACCATATACGAAAAACCTATGTTTGTCTGCAACGTGAACGGCAATTATCATCCAAAAGATTCTATATAAGATATTCATTTCATTTTTTCTCCAAAGCAACGTATTGTTTTCGCTTCACAACGTTTATGTCTGATAACTATTTTCTAATTAAACGAAATAGTGATCAGCGCCTTACTTTCGTGATCGAAACTAAAACGTGGATAGCATGTACAGACTTCATAATTTAATAGTATTCATGTGACCACGATTTTGTGACCCAAACCACATTATTATGAAATTAATAAAAATCAACTAACAGTAAGCATCTATAAGTCTCTAATTAAAAGACCAGATTATTACTGGTTAATACAATGGAAGATTAAAAATTCTTCAGAGGTTCAAGTTGTTAATCTACAACACTATACAGATTTAAGTGAATATTTAGAGAACTCTATAAACCTCAAAATGTTTTTCCTAATAGGTTGTAGTTAGTTATAAGTAAGTTTCAAAGCTATCTACGAGTGTTTTCTGACATCCAGTCAAACATAACTGTTTTACTTTTTGTATCAAAGTTAAATTTTTATTATTTGCCATCTTACTTTACATTCTGTACTTGGTTTGTTAGTCTCTAAACAATTACCTATCGGTTATTTATATTAACCAATAATGAGTCAGTTTTAACTTTTTATTCCTGTTTTAATTGATGGATTTCTTCTATTAGAAGAATGAACTACATTAAAATCTGTGCAAAATAATTTTCAGTGAGATCTTCTTGAAAAGCTTCCTTGTTTTATAAGTATTTTGAAACCATTTTTAAGTATATGATATGCTGCTAATAATTTTTTTAAAATAAATAAATGATCTTGAAAACTACTTAATAGTCTACATCACTTCTTAATATAGTACAACGTTTATCTTTAGTTTGCACACATGAATTAACTGATTTATGATTTGACGATGTCCTTTTTTCTCGAAATTAAACAAACAGAAGGAGATAACAATTTATGTTTACATTCACGTCAACAATATTTCATGCATTTCATACATATGTTCTAACAACCTGTGCAATAATCATCTTCAAACTCTGTATGAATCCAATATAATCTAGATAATAAGTGATGATTTATGTGGACTCATAGTATTCAATATAAATATTCTTAATTTAGCATATGACTGACTTCATAACATCAGTCGAATTTTAACAACCATATAAGTTTTAATAGTTTTAATAGTCTTTTGAAATATAGACATTTAACAAGTGAACATTTCTCAAGTGACTGAAACATAAATTAAATTAAGACTTGACTATGAGTATTGATTTTCAGTCATCACATCAAAATAAATCCGATCATTTTACAGTTAAACAATTCCAACCATTTCGTGAATTTAAAAATAATAACAGCTTACATTATGATCATGTGCATTACCATTAAATAGTTTTTGCATATTGAACTAAGTTTAAAAAAGTATTTACGAAAATTTCATTCAATACATACACAAAACTTATTCTGCTTTTACTAACATCTGCTTAATCTATGTGTAAACTCACTTGTGGACTAATCCTACTAAAGTCGAATCGACAGTTTTCATACTTTGTTCCTTCATAGACCTTTTGAGCTAGAAACGCCGTAGGTATACCGCATATCATTGCTGCTAACCATGCAGATCCGATTAACATGAGAGCATGTGTTTCTTCGAAATGAAAATAAAGAAATAAAAACATAACTGGTAAAGAGTTTGAATTTTGTTTATACAGAAAAGCAGTGATTCTAAAAAGAACTACTCATCTGATGGCTAAAAAGTTTTGGTTTACATTATCGATTTAAGATGGGGTTTTACTAGTTCACAGAAATATTAGTATCATAACTCAAGAAGTGATCATAAATTTAACTATTATTTAAAAACCTTTCACACTGCTTTAATCTAATGTAACGGTGACCCTAAAATTCCAGTCTAAATAACTACAATATTTGTTGAAGTTTGCATCAGAAGCCACAAGGTTAACATTCTTATTCGGAAAAAATAATTTCTCATAGAATAATATCGCTTGCTTAAACTTCTGTTTACAAGGTGTTAAGTTAGTATCATGAATGTAATATCGAGATATGAATAGCGAGATGTAGTCGTTTAATTTTGTAAATTATTGTAAATTAACTTCACACATGGTTTACATTAGGAACAAACTTCAACTGCTCAACTTTTGAAAACAAGATAGTACATAGTACATGGTCGTCTTTGGTTTGCGATAACTCATCAAGACGCGTGTAAGACGCTATAAAGAATCGAACCATGGACTATAAGATGCGACAGGAAGAGTATCACCGTCCACATTTTTAGTAGGAATATGACACTCATCATCTATTTAAACGTTTTTCCAAACAAAGTAGGTTGATACTTAACTGTTGAAATTGTTCGTATTCGTTTTGTTGTATTCACAAACTTACAAAAGCTGTTATCTACGAATAGATTATTGATTTTGTCAGTACTTCATGGTTGTTTACTATTTTTAGTTAAGATAAGTGATTATAAATACTAATGTGCTTGTAAAGATACTAATTATTTTGAACGTCAAAATTGTGCTGTAGTTTTGTTTAAATTGATTAAAGCAGTAGAAGAACTAGCTTCAAGAAGTGCTTTCTATGACGAATTTTACTACTTTGAAAGGTCTTATTGAATATTTTCTATGAACGTAAGTCAATTTACTATTCTACTTACGTTTAAAAAAACAGATACGTAAAACACTTACTTTTACTGAATTTTGACGATGTAGCTCGGAGTGGTCTACATACAGCCTCTGCACGATCAATACTTAACGCTATTAGTGCGAAAGAGCTTCCATATGTTATGGTAGTCTGGAAGTTATCGACAATAAAACAATAAATTATCAGTGAAATCGAAATCAAAATAATCATTTATATTTGATCTATTTATTGGATACATTTCAGAGATAAGCAGTCGACTTCTGTAGACTATTAAAAAGTCAGATGGAACCATTCGTTTTCATCAACATTGTCATCAGGCTCCAAATTATAAATCCTCATGTATCATATCATAATAACCAATTTATTTGCGAATACGTATATAGGTTATGATAAAATTAGTCATTATTATAGTTTGAAAACGCTTAGTCCTCTAAACGTAAACACTTGCAAAGTTGGTAATATAAGATCATCTTTAGAGTTACCCCATCAGTTCTGTCCTTTAAATTTCTTGCATGCAAACCCCAGGCAATAAATGTGTTCCTATGCTTTTCCTCGTTAAACATTTAGAGATTTTTAAAAAAAATACTGTTATCACAATAAACCTAACATAATGTTTCTCCACTTTCGTATCACATATACATGGTTTTACCATCCTTAACACATCTGATCTTAAAATGGATTTTAGCTTAAAGTCGTAATATGACCATATATTACCGATTTTGTGAGTACTTGTAGTTAAGACAAACTGTTCTTTATAAACTTTGAAAATAATAAAAAATAGGTCAAATTGGCAGATGTATTATGAATCGATCTGACAAATTGGTGCTAAACGTTGTGTGAACACTTCTGATCTTTGCATTTGTATTCGTAATGTTATTAATTATATACATATTTAATTTTGACCTTTCACAGATGAACATTTTTGCATGCTTATCCATGTTCGCTTATTTATATCATTGTTTGTTTGTAAGAATCATATAAGTTGAAACGTAAACTTATTTACGTAAGTTGGCTGGTAATACCTCCCAGTTATACATCTATCTATGATCGTCCATCTGCTGATTTCTACGAATGAAATATATACTTCCCAAATACATTCGTATTCGATTTATTTTTTCCGTTATAACTAAAGAGATTCAGTCAAAGTAGGTATACATATATATAATTAAAAAGCTATATTTCGTCATTGGTAAAACATAGGGTCATCTAATGGGGCTACACGTTCATTATTTTCAACGTACAACACTGACTAATCCTGCCATTATTTAATATGTTTCTCCAAACAAATTACACTACCTGATATAATGATCGTGAATTTAGAGTTAAAAACCTATAAACAAAATCATTCCAGTCAAATAATCCTCTATATTACCTTATACAGATCGTTGAATTGTTTATTCAACATCAAAGACTCTTTTTATGGTCGTAAATGTGCACTGCTGAGGATTACCATACTGAGATGGAATAGCTGTCTAATAGTTCTTGTTTTTCAACGAAGACGTGTTCGTGATTCTACACATAATATTTACTCATAGACTTCTAGCTTATAAATGAAGGAAGGATCAAATTTTCTAATACTTTAAAAATTTGGATCCTGACTCTCTGATTTACCTCTGGTATGTGCATAAACTTAATAGTCTTAAGAATCAAGTCTTCGCTTGTTTATATGATTATTAATTACTGAACCAAATAATCATGTAAATAATAATCTACAACTCAACAATCCTATCTAGATTTCTTTTACTAATCAATACCACCTCATCTACAAGAGCATTATTGACATAAAATATCTTGATTGACATCTAATATACATTAACGAGGTTTTACAGAGGATATGATATGATATTCACGTGAAATACATAATAAAATATATTTCCATACAAAGTATTATATTCAAAATAGTTCAAGCGTAACGGAAATGATTTACAATTTTGTCATTTCATACCTAGCAAACTGATTTTCTGTGATTATTTTATTTAATCAAATTTATATTTTTAAGCGGTTATTCTTGAATAATAAATAATAAATAACTGCAACTGTGTTTTACAGCTGATTTATTTACAATATATTTGCGGGGTATGCAACTTAGTACTATATAACTCTAGTCAGGGATAAAATGTCTGGCAGAAGAAGGTTGAAAGGATAGATGAGGAAAGAATGGGAACAAAAACCAATTAGTATGGAAATGCAGGAATAATGACGTCTGAAACCAGTGATTAACATTTTTCAAATGAAGTATTTACTGTATGTTCTGTAATTTTATATTGAAATATATTCGATTGTCCCCACTTGTGTTCACTTTCACTACATAATATGTTGTCTGTATTTTTATCTTTTCGGAAGTTTCTTTATAATTCATGATAGAAACAATTCATTAAAAAAAAGCAAATAAATATCAGTAAATTATTATCTTTGCTTAGAATGAAAAACGGTTGCTAATCAATTTTTTTCTTATTATTGTGTATTGAATTCATTGTTTATTGCTGAATGCGCGTTTCCGGATTTTTTGATTTTAAATTTATTTGAATAGAGTGTTTTTAATATTTTCATTTTTCAAATTTTTAATCGATGGTGGATAATATTTAAAGTTTTTTTTTAATGACAATGATTTTTCTAAAATGTAGAAAATAAATTTTCAGGGTTTCTGAACAAGAAGTTGAATTATAGAAATTATGAAATGCGATTGATAAAAAAAATCATTAGTTATGGCTAATTTTTATCATGAAATGGTTGATATTGATGTGATGTAGGGAATAATTTGAAAGTTTCATTAAGGTTTGAATAAGTTTGAAAACTGTCCCATATGTAAGATGCTTAGAAAACATAACATAAATGTTTAGCTAATTTATTCTTTCATAAAGGAAATTTATGTTTAGGTTCTACTCCTTCCATGATCTCAAAATGTTGTAGTTCTTAATTTAACTTACTTATCTACGCCGACAATAAAAGGAAAAATAATTGTGAATATAAAATATAGTCACTTACAGACATATACTTCACTAGTTTACAAACAAATGTTGGTGCATAAAATACGATTGTTATATTCCAAATTATTTCTGGTAAGATTCCACCAAGAGCAACAAAGAGGTCTATGAAAAATAAGAATAACAGGAAAAGTCAATTTATGCTAATAAGAATAGGATCAAACATGGTCATGCTTAGATCCTATATGACGTTTCCAATAAAGGTGGATTTTTTTATATGGTGTGCTATATATCTTTATAATATACAACTTTATTAGGCAACATGAGAACTGAAAAATGATATAAACATAAGATTCATTACGTTTAGAAAGGTCTACACTCTTCTAAAAAAAATCAGTCTTACAACCTTACGTTTTGTGACGGAAGGTGATAAATAACTTAGTGTACACTTGCAAAAATAGTTTCCACACAAAAATCAAACGTTTTTTTCGATTGCTGCTTTTTGTCAAAGTTTAAAGTATAAAGGTAAGCTCATTATAAATAAAAGATGTGTTAATTCTCTAAAAGTTAATATACTTGGTCAATTCCATGTGGATGAGTATCATGGAGAAAATTTAGTCGATAAAAGTGATTACATACTTTTATTATAAACCTATTATCATGAGGACAAACCTATTGAATATAGATAAGAATCTATTGTTCAAACTAGTAAATTATTTGATAAACTTTTACAAATGCTTATGACTTATATTAGGTTTCTTAGTGAACCCATAGATAATCAGTAAATATCGCAAAATATTGTTGCATCTAAATTTCTTTTGAACTTTAATCAAGAATTAAGCTCCAAACTGCTTCGAGAGGATTTTAAGTGATTATTCAACATATTAAGACTATTCAATATGTTTTACTGGTAACATAAAAATTTTGAAAGTATCAAACTTTCTTCAACCGTAAATATTGATTTAACAGTTGCCATGTGATGTCTAGTAAAATGAAAGTTAATTATCCGGTGACTGTTATTCACCTTCGGAACAAACTATAGTTAAGTGGAAGTTGGCGTGTTGAAGACATTAATTTACAAATTACCTGAAGTACTGTTTGGTACTTCCTCAAAGACATGTCGAATTATTGATAAGAAGCTTAGTTTACATGTTTCCTGCAAATCTTATTTTTATGGTAATTATTCATGATAAACAAAGTAACGTTTGAAAAACAATATACACAGTTAAAATATCTTGTCATATGGTCCACTTGAAACCTTTTCTGACCCGTGATATCCTCCAAATCTAAGTTTAATAATCCCCTAAATTTCAGTTGCTCTATTGGTACTAACTTTAAAACACATAAATGTTTATTTGTTTTAACAAGCAATCCAGACTTAAAATTGATTTTTATCGAAAAATAAATGGTACTAGAAAGCAATCTCTATTATATTCTCTTCCAATCGACTGATTCACATAACATGACATGAATAGTCTCTACTAGCCAATTAGGTTAAAAATGGGATTGAAGCAGGGCGTATACGAACTTCTAGAATTGACTACAATTGAGTAGAAAGGAAAGCTTAATCCATTCGTAAACTTCAGTAGCTAGACGAGTGTGCATGAAGTCAATGTTTACTTATGGATGATGGTTTACCGCCCAGGTTCTTTGATACTAACATGAAACCGAAACGTCTAGTTGGAAGTACTTAAACGCTTTTGAGGAAACGCTCATTCATGAACATCAAGTTCGAGTGCAGATACAGAACCAGAGACATTAAAAAAGGCTTTCTAGATTTCTGAGAAAGACCTTTTATTTAGCTGAGCTCCAAATTTTTATGCTCAATAAAAGCTCATTCAGGAAAGTATCAATAGTAAATTGCCTCTTCAGGACACTTCCATTTATATTAGTTAACTCTATTGTTTTAATGCGAGTTATATTCATTTTATAAAGTGATTACTTGAGAAGCAAATATCCAGGTACTATCCTATGTGGTTATTTGCAGAGGAGCACAAATCAGTCAATATCTCAATCGTTGAACACGTGATCCCCCTAATAACGCGTCATACTCATTTGAGATCATCTAGAAAGTTGAAAAAACTGCTTCATAAATTTATGCTTAGTTATAGCTGCATCAATTTAGAAGTTCAAACTTAATCTTCTGTATAAAAGATTTATGTTCAGTCCATTCCTTTTTAATTGACATACCACTCCTAATTTTTGAAAATTTTAGGTACCAATTATTCTCTTCTTCCTTACTTTCTTCTTCCTTGTGAATTGAACGGTCGTCTTTGGCTTTCATTATAAAAAATTATGATTCTTATTAACTTAAAGACTATTGCATAAATGTTTGATAGTTTTGATTACATTTAGTTTGACATAATGAATGGATCAATGTTAGACCAATTTTGGAAACCAAGAAACATTGGATGACCATTTCGTCCTCAGCAGTAGGAATCCACGATCCTGAAAATGGAACCTTAGGTCTCGCGTGCGAACACTCAGCCTTTAGACCATTGAACCGGAATCCAATGATGTTAATGTCTAATTTTAATCAATCCACGATATTGAACCACCGTCCACCATTGTTTTCAGTGATATTGAAACTAGTCACTAGTGAAGCACGATAAGCTTTAGCGCGCGATACCGAAGGTTCAAGATTGAAGTTCAGTGTGCAGGATCGTGGATGCAAACTTCTAAGGAGTCCCAAACTAGAACGAAACAGCATCTATTTCTTCCAGGTTTTCAGTAATGGTCTATTATTGATCCACTCATGACATTAATCTAAACCTAACAATCTCTACAACCCTATGCTGATATTTTTGATCACATTGTTAAATGAAATAAAAATATTTTATTTACAGACTGTTATATCTATGTCTTGATATTTTTGATAACCTTACTAAATGATACAATACCTCTCCATTTTTTACAAACTCTTATATTCAATAATTGGGATTGGTTACCTGTTTTTAGTAGGCTTTTTTGGTGGTTTAATGGTACTGTCCATCAATAAGATTGTACAGCCTAAAAAATGGTATCGTCGAAGGAAAAAGTTTTATAACTAGATTGCATTACTCTTTTTTATTTTTTCTTTATTATGTTTTCAGTATAACAACAAGTTTATTCAGTACTACCTCGCTTCTTAAACCTTATTAGGATCTTCAACAAAATAATTACTGTTACATTTAACTTTGAAATGATAGGACAAAAATCGATTTCGCAAAGTCATTCAATATACGTACAATAATACTTAGTTCGCTTAATTATAAATGCACCAAATAACGTAACGAAACGAAAGTGTATATCAATCAGTGATACAAGTTATTTTTTAATTCAAATCAAAATTCAAAAATAAATCATCAAAACAGTGAATATGTTTCAATCGGTGAATGATTTTTAAATAAATTCTAGTATCTGTGATGAGAAGTCGTGAATGTTAATGTCACAGTGATAGAAATAAGGCAGCTGTGATATATTGCGGTTCAAGAAACATACTAAATCTATTAGAAATGTTGTTTGCTTGTTTTGATAGATGAATTGTAAATATTTTAGAGGATTCATATTTGAGGGTTACGTTTCTCCGATTATTGAATTAATAAACCGAATTTAATTCTTCCTGTTGAGAATTTTAATGCGAACTAAGAAGCCATCAAAGTAATAAATCTATTGCATAAATAAAAGATGATTCGCTTTCTACGTTATGAAGCAAAATAATAGTAGTTATTCAATATGGTCTGTTTTATTTCACATTGAGGAAATAAATTTAAGTGAGTAGATGATGACAAATCGAATAGCGACCAACATTTCGTCCTGGCGTGGGACTCCTCAGCAGTGCGAATCCACGATCCTGAACAGGGGGCCCTTAGTCTCGCACGTGAACACTTAACCTGTAGATCACTGAGTTGGCATTCAGCGGCGTTAATGTCGAACTTTAAATGATCGATTATCTTCCTCAACCATTCATACATTGTCCGAAGTAGATACCTTTCTCTATCCGACAATGCATTGAACTTCACTAGTGTAGGTTAGATCAACTCATGAATTCAACTATTAAAATTATTTCAACTTTATCTATCGTAATATTTACGAAAAGAAACTAACGTTTTAATTCATAATGACACTGAATTAAATATTAGCTGAACATTTACCTGTAATAGCTAAGTTAATGATGAATATTTTCATTTGTGTTTTGATTTTTCTTGAGAAAATCACACCAAGTACAGTCAAATTACCAATAACAATCATAAAGAATAAAACCAATAAAATAATTAGTCCAATAGATTGTAGCTATAATCAAAGGAAAAAAAAAGTTAATTTTGTTAAATATGAGAAAAAATCATAATTAAAAATAATGTTATTGTTATACTGTAAAATAATTGTTTCCTTGACTATAATTGTAATAAATATAATAACCTGATAACTGTTGTCAAAAATGTTGTGTACAGAAGATAATTAATAATAATTCTATGCTTTCAGATGTAATGAATGAGATCTTTTGTCAGATAAGATTAGGCAGAACAGGAAATATTTATTCAGTACAACAGTTATATACCTTCTTTAAGTATTTAAATGTTCATGTATATAGGTGGGTTCCTCTGTATAAGAAAAGGATTACTTGTTAATTGATTAAATGATAAATCTACAACATGGACAGTCATAGATTATTACAAGTCATACGAGATTGGAAATTTCAAATTTAATATAAATTAATTTTATGTTTAATTGTAGTTGAATAATGTCCCGTTGTGGTCAAAATGTACGTCCTTGTTTCCATTAATGTCCAATATTGAAACTTAATTAAAAACTTAAGAATAAATGACATTACCTTAGCAACTTGCATAAGATCCAAACGTTAAAAGCGATTAGCAAACTAAAGTCTTAAACATAATGACTTGGATGGTAAGCAAATAAACTTTATATAAGTTTTGTGTGATATCTCACGCTTCTGAAATTTAATTAGTACGTTACCTCTGTAATGATACTTTCTTACGAGAATGAAGCAATCTGTGTAAAACATTTTATATCCGAAAATGTGGAGTTTACAATTATGTTTATGAATATTCTGTTACAGTTTTATATTGACATGTTAATTTTATTATAACAGATCAATTTTTAAAAGAACTATGTGCATGAAATCTCCATACTTATTTACGTCTGTTACGCCCAATGGAGAATACGCTGTCGACCAGCATTCTCAAACCCACTCCACCATCCTTTCTAGTTCTATCCAACTTTTGTTCATTCTTCTCATGTCTATCTCCACTTCTCAGAGTAATGTGTTCTTTGGTCTGCCTTTCCTCATTTGGCCTTCAGGATTCTATGTGAGGGATGGTCTTGTGACGCAGTTGAGTGCTTCCCTCAATATGTGTACTATCCACTTCCAAAGCTTCTTCCTGATTTCTTCCTCCACTGGATGGAATCTGGTTTGTTCTCTCTCACAGTAGGCTGTTGCTGATAATGTCTGGCCAACGGATTCGAAGTATTTTGCGTAGACAACTGTTAATAAACACTTGTATCTTCTGGATGATGGCCTTCGTAGTTCTCCACGTCTTCGTCCCATACAGTAGAACTGTCATGACATTTGTATTGAAAATTCTGACATTGGTGTTGGTTGACAGTTGTTTTGAGTTCCAGATGTTCTTCAGTTGTAAATATGCTGCTCTTGCTTTGCCGATCCACGTCTTCACATCTGCATCTGATCCACCATGTCCATCGATGATGCTGCCCAGATAGGTAAAGGTTTTCACATCCTCCAAAGCTTCTTCGTCCAGTGTGATTTAATTGATGCATGCTATATTGTATCAGAGAGACATGACATCTCCATATCCAGAGTTTATTTGTTTTCAGTTCACAGTTATATATACATATATATGTTAGTTAGATAGAATAGTCAAGTTAGACGTTGGAAATGAAGAAATTTTGTTAATAAACCTCAACTTTATGATATACCAAAAAGATTTAGAAACACGTCATTTGTCTTGCCAATATAATGAATACTGGTGTATCGTTAGCATTATTCTTAATACCGTCAACCGAAAAATATCTACTAAACATTATCCATTTACTGAAACTACTTCACAAATTTAGAATCTGTGTTCACATTTAAAATACATACTCAACCTATTATTGTTCCCTAAAACCTCAACAAGGAATTGATCAATAAATTTATCGCTATTATTATGATATGTGATCGGATAAATTTCAATAAAAAGTAGATAAATACTGTCTCGAACGTTATAATGATTAATAGGTTAATTTGATTATTGAAAATTGATGGTTTATTTAAATTAAACAATTAGATAATCTACTTTCTTTTTTAAAAAAATTCGTGTCCAAACAGAACAAAATTGAATTGAAAATAATGAATTTGACCTATAAATAAATTTTTATATAAAATTAGATCACTTAGTATTGTTCGTTTGAATCTTCCCATTGATGTTTAGGACTGCAACTGGTCAGTCTGTAATTGACGAGTCCCAAATAGAATGAAACGCACGACCTGGATTCCACTGCTAGCCACTATCCATCTTTGCTTACAAAACTATACTAGTAAATAATTAGTCAAGTAAGTTAATACTTCTCATTTTCATTAATGTCTACACAAATATTTTAACAGTTGGTTTAATAATTAAAATTGTGAGATAAAGGATACATTTAGTTTCCTATTTTCAACAAAACAAAACTTAAAAGGTTATCATAATAAATCATTAGCAACATATTATTTTAACACAGTGAATTTTGAACATAACTGAAGTAGTACTTAAATAGGAAGAATGCATTTGTAAAATTTTAGCAAATGAATTTGAGGCAAATCCAACGTTTCTCCTGACAATCTGATCCAAGCTTTTTTCAAAGAAATATAATCAAACATTCAAAATTATATATATTACCTTGAAAAAGTGTTGACCAGATTGCCAGACGAAGCATTGGATTTACTTCAAATTCATTTGCTGAGATTTTACAAATGCATTTATCCTATTGAATATCGGCTTCTAAATACCGTGAAACTATTCATTCTAACTTAGACAAACGTTCTTATATGAAGTATTATTTGAACACATTATTATTGGTGTTCACTAACTAAATTATAAAAAAATGTCTAACTAGATTATTTATGTTTTCTATGACTTGTAGTTTATTTGGTGTGATCAATACTCTTCCCACACGTTAACTAAATAATCAAGTTCACTTATCTTTCATAACTAAGTTTACATGCTCACTAAACAAATGAAATGAATATTATATGATAACTAGATTGAATTTTGTCATCATTCTTCAGACTTTGAACATCTTCTTTCAGTTAGTTTCTATAGTTACAACTAACTTTAAATGGAGTTATTCATTCATATAAACAATTAAATCAAAAATTGATTTAGCGACAGTCAATAAATTTATTCTTGTGAGAATTAATTGAACTGTCGCTTTTATGTATCGCTACACAAAGTATAACAAAACCAGTAGAAAATAAAAGTTAAAAGCAGTGACCAGTGGAGTTCAAAACCACGTATGTTGTGAGATAGGAACTCACTGAAGACAATTGGTGAATGGTTGCTCAACTTCGTGGATCAGTTGAAGTTAAACATTAACACAGTTGGATGCCAGCTCAGTGGTCTATCGGTTAAGGGCTTCGGCTCGAGACTGGTAGGTCCTGGATTTGAATCTCGCGAGAGCGGGTTCGTGGATGTGCACTGCTGAGGAGTCCCATAATAGGACGAAACGGCCATCCAGTGCTTCCAGGTTTTCGATGGTGGTCTAGCTTCAATTAATTCATGATTTCAACTTTGAAAAATACTAAACCTTTACAAAACCCCTTCTGATAATAAAAGTTATGTCAGGAAAATATATATATATATTTATTGATGTATATATATGTTGCTAAGTCACTAACTAATTTAAGCGGTGACTCCTAGTGAGTGCAAGATATCTATCATCTTTTGATGTGAATCACTAGTACAAACGTTTAGTCATAGCTTTAATTGATAAATCATAAAAAATTTGTGCAAAACACATACGATCACATTATAGACGGAGGTTACTTTGTTACGTTGAAATTTTTCCAATTTTAATAAATTCCTGAGGATGTTTGTTCTTTCTAGGTTTCTGTTGTGAATAACTATTACATTAATGTAACACATTCAAAAATTTTAATAAATTGTTTAACTGTCTTCAAACCTTTGAAGGTGAGATTTTCAACCTGATGTTTTGCAACTATAGTTTATTGAAAAGCATGTGTTCTGTATGTATTTGCCTTATATCAGAATTTCCAATTTCATTGTAATTACTTATCAACTATTTGGGTTTGATTCATAATGAAAAGGTTGAACAACATACGTGAAGGTAGACTGAAAGATGTTTGCAACAAACCTACATTATGGAGCGAGGTATGTCGTTTTACTTAATAATATTTCACTATCATTAGACAAAAAAGAATGATAATCATTTCATCAGTATTTTCCAGTATAAATAATAATAATACAGGTTTTAGAGATAACTACAGAATTGAAACCTATTCACAATCATAATCAGGCTGATACAAAGTAGGAACATATTGTTTGCTGATATCTGATAACATCTACCGTATGGTAAGACTATGATGACGAGAAAGATTTGGATTTTATTGTTAATAAAATACCTTGTGCATTTACATTCCTCTGTACACGTTAACGTCACTGTCTTAATTTTAAAATAATATATTAATATCTACAGATCCATTATCTAGATTTCCTTGTAGCGGTTATGAGCCGAAGATATTTATCGGTGTTAAAAACTTTTGGTTAAATATTAAAAAATAATAACCCAAAAATAAATTGACAGGTTTGATTTTATAGTAAATCAATGATTTATTATTGTTTACTACTAAGGAACATCTGATTTGTTGTGTATTTTGCTGAAATCAACAATAATCCTATGTAATGAACTTTATATAGTTGAGATCATGAGTCAATTGAAGCTAGACCACCATGGAAAACCTGTAAGCACTGGACAGCTGTTTCTTCCAGGTTTTCTATGGTGGTTAGCTTCAATTGACTAATGATCTCCACCATATAAAATTACTAAAATCTCTACAAACCCCCTTCTAAGTATGTAATAAACATTAAAAAATTGTAGGCAAAGAACTGATAACTTTATTTTTACACAAAACTGCAGACAATTTATAACATCTCTACAAGACGTTTTCCTTTACATAATGGCAATTTATTTTTAAATCCTATACATTTAATCAAAATTCTAGATAATAAAAGCGGAATAGTAGCCAAATCACATCTAAATGGAAAAATGTGTTTTAT